AGTTTTATTATAAAGTTTTTATATTAATATTAATATTAAAAAACTTACGCCCCGTGAAAGGTGTAAATTATTTCTTACAATTGCATAATGTTATAAGATTTAAGAACGACTTTGTTTAAGAGTATTATGTAACAAGGCGTAAGGAGTACTTTAATATTAATAATAATATGAAAACTTGATAAGAAAGCTGTTTTCAAACATAATATAGTCAGGTAGAAGCAATATGCAAACTCGCATATTTACATATAACTCAATGTTCCATCTCCGGATTTCAGAACTACCACAAAAATTTCTTACTCGAATTGTATATTCGACATTTCAGCCATAATATAGTTAGACAGCAAAATCATAGCGAGCTCTCGGACTATTTCGCTTCAACGTTTATTTAGCACATGTATAGTATTCACAATTTTTAACGAGCAATTTGCCTGACGTGTCGCTGGATACATTATACAGAAAAAGCAATAAAAGAGAAATTTTAGAAAAAGCAAGAAATCATGAAATAATTCTAACGCGAAGATGGCACCAGCGAGTCGCCACGAAACGATTAGGAAAGGAATACCCAGCCAATACATTGTGGAACAATCTCAGATCCTATCTCAGGTCAAGTCTCAGGCTCAAGACGTACATAGGATGTCCCAGAAAAAGTGTTAGAACCGAAAAGGGGTGACTCTGGAAGTATTTTCTGAGTAACAATTTCTTGTAGCAAAATGCAAAGTGACACATAGTTTCTGAATTATTAGCAGAATACACTCACCCACGGCTGAGCGTCAGGGCTGCCAGAAAAATGTATCCCGTACCCCCTCCACGAGCAACTTGGCTCCATTCCCCTCTCGCGATGCCATAGTGGAAACAGTTGCTGACGTTCCTCTTCGCTGAACATCGCGAGAGGGGAATCAAGCCAAGTTACTGGTGGAGGGGGTATGATACACTCTTCTGGCAGCCCTGCCGACCATCACGATCCAAGCCCTCACTCCCGTCGTTGAGCGCGGCCCTTACGCGTGCTCTTATTAGTGAATGTTTTTCGTTAATAATTCAAAAACCATGCCTCACTTTGCATTGTGCCATAGGAAATTGTTGTTCAGAAACACCATTCATATCAGAAAACATGCCTATTATATTCAATCCCTAAAAATATATAAAACAGTTGATTTAAATCACATGATAAAAATGGAAAATTTCTTTAAATGGGTTAAATTCGTCAAAATATTTTTCAAAAAATGCATAAAAGTCTGCATTTATAACGTCTGTGTTTATAACGCTCACATAAATTCCACACGTGACTCGTATCACTTTTT